TTTTTAAAAGGTAATTTTTTGATAGTATTTATACCAGATTTAAAAAGAAAAGTCGAAGGATTTATAGCAAACTACATCCCATGCATACTTGCCAATCGAAAACAGGGTAAACAAAAGGGACAACTTCATCCGCTACCTAAGTATGACGTGCCTTCGCACACGTACCATATAGATCATTTAGACCCTTTGGAATCCACGAGCAAGAAGTACAAACACATTTTGGTCGTGATTGACAGCTTTACAAAATTCACTTGGTTATATCCAACGAAGAGCACGACATCGCAAGAAGTAATTAAGAAGTTAAAGCTGCAACAACAAATATTTGGCAATCCAGCGTGTATTATTTCCGATAGGGGCACGGCCTTTTCATCGAAGGAGTTTCAAGACTACTGCGAAAATGAAAGAATTAAACATATCTTGATTACCACCGGTTTGCCAAGAGCAAATAGACAAGTAGAAAAAATAAATCGGACAATAATTCCAATACTTACTAAATTATCATTAAAAGATCCTACTAAATGGTATTGTTATGTGAGACAGTTGCAAAACATCTTAAATTCCATTTACCAAAGAAGCATTAACACGAGCTCATTCGAACTACTGACGGGAGTAAAAATGCGATGCAAAGAGGACTTACGCCTAAAACAGATCTTAGAGCAAGAACTACGAGAGTAGTTCAATGAAACACGTTCCACTCTTAGGGTGAAAGCCAAGGAGCAAATATTAAAGACGCAACGAGAGAACTGCAAGACATTTAATAAACACCGGAAGGCACCACAAAAATATAAAATTGGAGAGCTAGTTGCGATCAAACGCACGCAAATGTGTCCGGGGCGAAAGCTGCGCGCAAAGTATTTAGGGCCGTACCGCGTAACAAAAATAAAGTGTAATGATACATATGATGTAAAGCGAGTGAATCCAGGAGAAGGTCCGAATAGTACTAGTACATGCGCCAAATTTATGAAGCCTTGGTTCAATATGTAGCAATCATTCGAGGCGAATAATTGGTCAGGTAGGCCAAATGTAGGATTTAGAAAGAATTAAGAGTTAGATTTCAATTTGATAGTTGGATCAGCTTGTTTCGGGCTTGTTGTGTTTATTGACTAGATCAGCGCTCGGAATTAGTTACACATTTTGGGCCGATTTCCGAGACGACGCCTCCTGTTCCCCCACTACCGCCCAGCCGCTGGCGGCCGAGCCGCCGATAGCTCTGGCTCAGGAACGTTTTATATTAGAAATAGGCTGGATTGTTTAGGCATCTTTCAGGAAATCGTAATATTTTCTTCACTACATAAATAATGTTTCTTTTTATTAATACATAATATATATATATTTAATTATTAATGAAAATAAACATTATTTATGTAGCAAAGAAAATATTACTATTTTCTGAGAGGTGCCTCAACAACCCAGCCTATTTCTTATATAAAATGCTCCTGCGCCAGAGCTATCGGCGGCTCGGCTGCCAGCGGCCGGGCGGTAGTGGGGAAACAAAAGGCGTCGTCTCGGGAATCGGTCCGAAATGTGCAACTAATTCCGAGCGCTGTAAAGCGGTGTAAAGCAATCAACTTTTGGTTTTCTTTAAAAGTGGATAAAGTCGAATATCGCGCAGTGATAAAATACTTCGTTTTAGAAGGTTTAACGCCAACAGAAATAAAAAACGAGCTAGATTCAATTTTGGGAGAATCTTCATTATCGTTTTCAACTGTTAAGAAAGGGCTACTGAATTTAAATGTGGCCGTACGTCCATAAATAATGATGAATGTTCAGGTCGCCCAAAAACCGCTACAATTGACAAAAATTATAGAAAAAATCCATAATGCCGTGTTGAATGATTGACGAGC